CATTTTCCTTGGTATCCCCTAAACAATACAGAATCAGAATGACTTATGCTGTATACAATATAGACAATCTGGAGAATACTTAAAGAGAATGCTAGTGTGTGCCTTTAATTCCAGCACTCAGTGGCCAAGGCAAGAAAATTCAAGGAGTTCAAGACTAGTCTGAGCAACACATAAAAATCCCATGTCAAAAAGAAAAAACAATGTATATGGAAGGATGTGTAATAGGTCACATGCAAATCCTATTGCATTTTATGTAAGAGATTGAACATCTTCAGATTTTAGTATCGACAAGGGGTCCTACATTAATCCCCCAGGAGTACAGAGGAACAACTAATTATATAAAGGTTAGGAATTGGAACAGTATGATCTTTCTAACCGGCTGTGAACTCAATACCTTGGACTTCTTTATCAAGAAATTGCTCAAATTTTCAATGTAAAATGTCATCAGAAAACATATTTAAGCATTCCTCAATATTATTATAGATTCTGATGCTATATTCCAAGCCAGATCTACTCTTTTCTAACTAATATTGCTCCAAATGAAAACTTCTGTGTTGAAATCCTAACTTCTAATATGACATTTACTGTGAGGGCAGGGTCGTCAAGAATAGGATTATAATAATAATAGTTAATTTCCTCTCTGTTTTCTGCACTATGAGTATATAACCATAAACCAGATCCTGTATCTGCTAGCACCTCAAACTCAAACTTACCAGTCCCCAACCTTAATGAATGCTTGTTCAAACCACCTAGCCTGTGCTGGGTGGTTTTTGTCAACCTGATACAAATCCAGGCATATCCAAGAAGAGACTTTTTTTTTTTTTTTTTTTTTTTTTTAAACAGGGTCTCATTAGGGTAGCTTTGGCTGGCCTGGAACTCACTATGTAGACTAGGCTGGCCTTCAACTTGTAGAGATCCTCCTTGCCTCTGTCTCTCCTGAGTGCTGGAATTAAAAAGACTTGAACCACCACAACGCCTGGAAGAAGAGGAATCTTATTTGAGAAAATGCTTCCATAAACTTGCCTGTAGGCAAACCTGTGGCTATTGACTTGATTAATGATTGATGTGACAGGGCCCAGCTCACTGTGGGAGGTGCCATCCCTTGGCAGGTGGTCCTGGGTTGTATAAAAAGCAGGCTGAACCGGGCGGTGGTGGTGCACACCTTTAATCCCAGCACTCAGGAGGCAGAGGCAGGCAGATCTCTGTGAGTTTGAGGCCAGCCTGGTCTACAGAGCGAGATCCAGGAAAGGCGCAAAGCTACACAGGGAAACCCTGTCTCAAAAAACCAAAAAAAAAAAAAAAAAAAAAAAAAAAAAAGCAGCTGAACAAGCCAAGAAAAGCAAGCCAGTAAGCATAAAGAAAAAGCAGCCATAGCTTCTGTACCACAATTCCTACCCTGCTTGAGTTTCTGCCCCAATATTCTTCAGTGATGAACTGTTACATGGAAGTACGGGATAAAATAAACCCTGAATTACTTTTAGTCATGATGATTTGTTAATCTGTTTGTTTGAGACAGGGTCTTTCCAACACAGCCCTGGCTGTCCAGGAACTCATTGTGTATACCACGCTGGCCTCGAACTTAGAAATCCACCTGCCTCTGCCTCCCTAATGGCTGAGATAAAAAATGTGCACCACCACACCCAGCTAGTCATCAGGTTTTAAGACATAGTCCCTGCAATTTGTTATACTAGCATGAACTAAGATGTATGTCTACTTCATCAGCTAAAGAAGAGAACAACTTCCAAACCTTATAAGACAGAGATTGCTCAAGCTAATAGAGGGGGAAAAAAAAATCTAAGAATTAATATTCCATAAATCACATATATGTGTATGTACACATATATACAATCAAACACCTTTTAATCAGGAGCTACTTATTTAAAAGAGGTGTTAAGATTTGAATTGGGAAATATGAAACAGGTAATATAAAAATCAAAGGGCCTTCTTTCCTCTGCCATCCATCATGAGCCTTAGGCCTGATTGGTTTCTCACTATGTTTTCTCACAAGACTTTCAGAATCAAGCAATTCCTGGCCATGAAACAAAAGTAAAATTGTTCTAGTCCCCCAATGGATTTGGATGAGAACTGGTAACAAAACCAGGTCCAACGCCAACACTGGAGGAGAACGAGGCTGGGTCTACAAGAATTTGCACACAATGTCATGACCAAGGGTTTATGCTGAATCACAGTCATCTACCAATCCGACCACATGGGCCTGAACATCTTTTAACTTCTGGAGATTTGGTCATGTTTAAAATGGAGTTTGATTTGCTTTTATCTGTTTCACATGAGCCAACTGGTTTGTTCAGTAATAAAATATATAAAACCTTTCGGAAAAAAATTAAAGGGGCTAGAGAGATGAATCAGGTAAGAGCACTGGCTGCTCCTGCAAAGGACCTAGTTCAATTCCCAGCACCTACATGGAAGCTTATAATCATCTCTAACTTGAGTTCCAGGGGATCTGATGCCCTCTTCAGGCCTTTGTGGGCATCAAGAATACACATGATACACAGACATATATGTAGACAAAACACCCATATGCATGATAAAAAATAAAAATAAATTTAAACCAAGAATCTCTTTAATATGCCCTCCCTACTGACTAAGAGAGAATTGAAAGAGCTTGATTAGAGAATGGTACAGTCTATTTCACTTATCTAGCATTTTTAAAAAAGAAATGTTTAAACTGAAGGGTTACTAACTGTAAGGAAGAATCCTTAGCCCTAACTTTTTATTTGATAATTTAACCCAGAGGTTAGGCAGGCTTATAAAGTTGTTTATAGTTCCATAGGCATGTTTACTTCCATAACCTACTGATTATGGTCACTGAAAGACTTACTCTGCAAAGTACATTAGCAAAGAACGCTGACAAACGAGACTTGGTTCATACAGAGTAACATGGACCTTCAAAAACTATTAGAACACAATTCCTGAGTTCCTAACTGCTTAAGACTGAATGCATAAACACTGTGATAAGGCTCTTCTGAGAAATCAGAAAATATAATATAAAAAAAAACCAGAATGAAACCACATCAGAAGAAATCAGAAAGAATTATACAATCTAACCTTTCCACCCCGAATTAGTTCCACCTTTTCTTTCCACTACAACATTGACAAAATGTCGAATAATTGAAATTTACTCTAGAGACACACACACACCAAGGGACTCCAAAAGGTCATAGAGGAAATTTCAACTAAACTTCAAAAGCCACAAAAAACAAAAAGTCTGTAAAGAAGGCACGCAAGTAGGCCAGGCAGTGGTGGCGCATGCCTTTGATCCCAGCATCCGGGAGGCAGATGGATCTCTGTGAGTTCGAGGCCAGCCTGGACTACAGAGTGAATTCCAGGATAAAGACTCCAAAGCTACACAAGAGAAACCCTGTCTCAAAAAAGAAAAAAGAAAAAAAAAAAAAAAAAAAGAAGGCACACAAGTCAAAACTTTACTAGCAACTACAGGTTTAATAAACTAATAAGACAACTTGTGTACCATTATCACTAACTGAAAAAAAATAGGCTGACAAAAAAAAAAAAAAGCAATAGCAGAGCATGGTGGCCCACAATTAAAACACCGTCACTTTTGTTACTATTATTTTGCCACTGGTGATTTAAAAAAAATTAAATGTAATTTAATATAGTAATTGCAGTTACTCAGTTATTCACAGTATACAACCAGTGATATTAGGCTTAGTATTGCTGAGTAAGTATAGTTACATTAAAAAGTACATTAGCCCTATACTAGGGAAATACTTGTAACAACCACCAGAGCTCAACAAGGGCGTATCTGATCCCCATCTTCAACAGTTATGGTTTCCTGGGAAACACCAGACCATTACAGAAAAAGAACATCAAATATCTCAACTCACTACAAGGAACTTCCAAGAAAACATTCATCCTCAGCTGTGCTGAAGACAACATAAACTCAAGACAAAATCTGAAAGTAGTCCAAATATTTTAAGCCATGGTTTTCATTCTGTGTCTTCTAAGTGTAATTTCCCTGGATCTCACAATATAAGAAGTCACCATGTCCTCTTCTCACTTGTCACGCCTCTGTCCAGTTCTGACCAGCACATAATGGGGTCATTAAAAATGGGCCACGTGATTACTGGCAGATTCAACCGACTACACTTTGGATCCAGTTAGACACAGAGCACTTTGATGCTCGCCTGAGGAGTTGAGTATCCACGAGCCCTGAATGAACCAGAAGAGCTCTTGGCTGTAACACCTTTCCCAACCTCATCTATTCCCAACACTGGAAGGCACAGGCAGTAGAAACCAGCCCTGGAAGGTTCCTAAGAGAAAACTTGAGGGGCTAGAAACTCCTTCCCAACAGCCCGGGACTGGCGTCGGAGTAACACCCTCTCCGAGATTCCCAGTACCTGGGATTGCCGGGGTCGACTCCTGACCCTAGCACCCCGAGAACAGCCCACATAGGGGGAGCACCCCCCACCCTCGATCGCCACCTGTCAAAGCAGAAGGCAGCTCCCCACCCTGAGCCTCCGAGCCCCCGCCCGACGGCGCCGACTTGCAAGCTGCTCCCTCCCGGAGGAGGACCCAGGCACCTACATGCTGGACCCAAGAAGGTCCCGGGTCACCACGCTGCTAGCCCACGGGGGGCGCACGACCCCTCCCTCCGCTGTGGCCAAGGCTACAGTGGTGTTAGCCGGCCCGCGACGAACCCGGCACTTTACCGTCCGCCATTCCGTCAACGTGCCCAGCTTAACCGTGGCGCCGCCGTACAAGCTGACATCCCGTTACTCACCTCCGGACTACTGCACCGAGGAATCCCCACAACCTTGTTCGCCGCCGCCGCCGCCACCGCCTCAGCGTTCCCCAGCGTCGCAGCCGCGACCGCCATGTTTGTTGTGTCTCCTCTCCCTTCCCGCCCCCCGCCTTGCCCAAGTCTCGCGTGAGCGAGCTGTAGGGAGCAAGTGGAGAGAGTGTGTGTCTCTCCTGGGGTTCCGTAGGCGGGAGTGGGCGGGGACTCCAGGGGGTGTGCGAGGGGCGGATGAGCAGAGTGGGCGGGGCCCGGGCTTGCCCCACCCAGGGTGCCTGGCACTGAGGTTTAGCAGGCGGCCCAGCCTAGGACGAGGATGGCGGTCTCTGCGCTCCAGCTGTGGCGTGCCGGCGGGCTGGTGAGTGGGTTCGAAACGACCGTCTCGGGAGGTCCAGGCGACACTGGTCCCTGGTGACGACATCTTCTAATGGTCTTTGGGAGCTCTGGGCCTGGGGACGGTCTTCTCAGACCTTTCACTGACGGGACACCGCCATCTAGATTTCCTTCTGGATCGGTCCCAGCCTGCTTCAGCTTCTTTTGGGGAGGGCAGGTGCGGCAGCTAGTGGGAAGAAGGAAGAGGCCGGTCTAGAAGCTTCAGCGGAACCAACACGCCTGGAATCGGAGTGCCACCTCTGCAAGATGCCCTTTGCTAAGACCACTGAGTCTCAACGACCTGCAAAATCAAGGGTCCTCGGAAGCATTTTGCAGAAATGTCACCTCTCTCGTGCCACATTTCCCCGATGTTACCACATTTTTTTTATTTTATAATTTAATTTAATTTTACATATCAACCGGATTCCCCTGTCCTCCCCCCCCCCCCCCCCATTCCCATCTCCTCCAGGGCAAGGACTCCCCTGGGGATTCAGCTCGGCCTGGTAGATTCAGTCGACCCAGATCCAGTCCCCTCCTTCCTTCACCTAGGCTGAGCAAAGTGTCCCTGCATAGGCCCCAGGTTCCAAACAGCCAGCTCATGCACTAAGGACAGGTCCCGGTCCCACTGCCTGGGGGCCTCCCAAACAGTTCAAGTTAATCAATTGTCTCACTTATCCAGAGGGCCTGATCCAGTTGGGGGCTGCTCAGCTATTGGTTCATAGTTTATGTGTTTCCACTAGTTTGGCTCACATTTTTTTTTTTAAATGGTTAAAATCTAGGCCTAGTCGTCGAATCACCCTCTTCCCTTCAGCAGCCCAGCTGGAAAAAAGCTGGAAGGGACCTCATATTCCTGGGACTTACTATTCAGGGAGAGAATTTCTTATGATTTATCTAACTGCGAGGACCTGAGCGGCCCCTTTGGAGGGACCTACCTTAGACTCTGGGGAGCCCAAGAGCCCATTCTAGTCCCCTTCCTCAAACTTGAACTGATTCCAACCTCTTGTCTCACCTGCATCTCTCTGGCCTCCTGTGGCTCCCTTGGACTTTCTCATCTTGGAATTAGACAGACACATAGCACAGTGCAGAAGATAGACTGTAGTACGAAATAACAGAAGACACTCTTACCAGAGTGGACAATGGCCGAAGGAACCACTGTGCCAGCCTACATTTTTAGCTAGACTTTATGCTATTTCTTCAGGTGCCTGAAATAGACAGCTTTCCTGGAGGGTGTTTTTCCTGCTCTGGTGATTGATAAATTGGTTTGGATTAACTTTTAAGGGAAAGGAAATCCGATGCCTTGGTGGTGGTGGTGGTGGTGGTGGTGGTGGTGGTGGTGGTGGTGGTGGTGGTGGTGAACTGGAAAACCTCCAACTAGATAGTAATCTATTTTGTTGGGCAGCTGTCAAGTCTCAAGCCAGATAAGACTCGGATCCCATTATTTTGGGAATAGAAATCAAAATCCTGCAGTATTCCTGGTTTTACAAGCTATTGATGAGGGGAAGGGTCCATCTTCAACGAACTTAAAGCTTGACAAAAATCTACATTTGTGTTTATTTTTGGCCTTTGTAGCCACACAAACTGTTGACTTGTTTGAAGTTCTTGTGTCAGGATTAGCATTGCCACACTTTCCTTTCTTGTCATACAGTCCTTTGGCCTCTTACAGCATGCTTCACAGACCTTTCATACATTTGGATACACTTGCGGTTGTCAGTATAAGTAGTTTAGTTTCTTGGGACTTTATTGTTTTGCTTTTATATTTCCTTTGCATTTACTGCAAGGAATCAAAGGCTCTTCTGTTTCTTTAGTCGAATGCCTGGAGGCGGCACCTCTTTGTCTCACATTATAGATAATTAATGTTATTTGATTGTTTTACAAGTCTTGGGTCTTCAGTAAATTAGTAAAGTTATGTTAGTGTGTTGTCACAAAGGATTAGCAGTAGGTTCTCATGATTATTATTTAATACTGTTTTGTAATTGTTGCTTAATAATAATGTAGCAAAGAAAATTATCTGGGTTTTTTTTTTTTCCAGTTTGATCTACTGTTTATGTAACCCTACCTGTTCTTGGTGCTCTTTCAGCTTCTGATCTCACGTAATTTATAAACATCTTGACAAGTAGCAGCAGCTTAATCTTGAGATGTAGAGATTTCATACAAAGGATTAGGAGGTGGCTTTGACAAAAGCTACCGCTGCTTCTCCTTCGTTGGAGAGACCATAGAGGTATTTTGTTTGGATTTGTGCATTTATAGTCCTAAATAGGTTTTTTTTTTACCACAAATTAGCATATTTTACTAAATTTTGACTAGCATGGTGGTTAATAAGGTAGATTCTGATGGCTAGCTGCTTGGATATAGAGCCCAGGCTCTGTGGTGTAACCTTAGCCAGTTACTCTTTGAGTCTCAGTTTTCTGATCTGTAAAATGGAAAAAGCTGACAGTACCAATTATGGGGTAGTTGTGAAGACTAAATGAATTCATATGTTCATGGAAGGCCCTTAGAAGAGCCTAGCGTCCACTCAGCTTTCAGTAAATGTCCTTGCTGTCCTGCATGAGGCACTGTGTGCTATAGCAAATGCAATATGGACTAAAACATGAATGGTCAAAAAGTTTGTTCTCAAGATTTTACAACTACATCTACCTAACCACATGCCATTTAGTTGTGGAACAAGTCCTTAGGGGTTCACAGTGTACCCCTGAGTTCAGAGGAGAGAGCAATGGTGGGGTAGAGAGGCTCTTTGGATACCAGTTTTAGAATCTAGGAGGAAAAGAGGGGTTCTGTAACAAACAGGGAATGATACTATTTTAGAGAATTTGGGAGTTTAGCCCTTGGGATTATGTAGTGCTATTGAAGGTTGAGAGCCTCGGAGCATTTAATCACAGTAAAATTGCTGTGATAGAAAGTGACAGAGTAGAGAAATGAGTCTCAACAATGGCACATACCTGTAATCTCCCACTCTAGAGACAGAAGCAGGAAGGTTGAGAGTTCTAGGGCAGCCTGGGCTTACATGGTAAGACCCTATCTCAAAACAAACTAGGTAGAGAAGTCCCTGTTCAAAGACAAACAGGAAGTCTGGCATCTGCTAAGAGCTTCCTATGGATGGGACAGTATTTTATATCTGTGATTTTCATTCTTTCTATGAACCCTCTGAATTCTGTATTAGTGGCTTCAGTTGCAAAAGACAAATTCAGAAACAACACCCAGTGCTTGCAAAGGGGGAGAGCAGTGGCTTAAATTAGATATTAGGTATTATATACTTAGAACAGATTCTTACATGTGGTAAAGGCTTAGTAAACACTAGCTATTGATACAGGTAAAACCCATCACCAGTAACACTGAGAGGAAGGGAATAAAGGTGTCTTTATGTAAAGTACGTTACTACGAGAAATCTACAGAGTCTGCTTAAAGGATGAAGGAATTTATTAGGGAGGAAAACTCACTACAGCATGGGAGATTTAGTGTAGGGTCCTGGAAGGCCTAGTTACAGTTCCACGCTGTTCTTCCATCTGGTCCATCTCAGCATCCAAGCCCACGAGGGAGAAAAGAGAGTGGCCTATGTGTGTGCAACTGAGGTCTTAAGGGTAGCCTGAGCCACGCCCCAGGGGCAGGTACTTCAAGGTCATAGGTAGGTAGGACAGTTACCTGCTACATCTCTAGGAGCAGTGCTTCAAGGTCATAGACAGAACACCTAGCCACTACAGTACGTGGCAAGTCTTAGAGACAACAGGGTCCCTGACACCAGTGAAATTCTGTTTTTAATTGGGAAGATGGGGCATGTGTGTTTTTAAAAAATGAATATTAGGAATGAGGAAACAGAATATTGCTACCGTTGAGGAAGTAGTATGGGCAGATAGGCTTATAGGAGATGGATCTTGACCTGACTGCCCAAAGAAGGGGTGGTGTAGCTGAAGTTTTCTCCAGTCCTGCCTGGCCCAAGGTCAGGACAAATCTCTCTCACCCACCAGTCCAGCAGCCGCTCAGACCCAACTGAGTAAACACACAGAGACTTATATTGCTTACAAACTGTATGGCTGTGGCAGGCTTCTTGTTATCTAGTTCTTCTATCTTAAATTAACCCATTTCTATAAATCTATACCTTGCCACATGGCTCATGGCTTACCAGTATCTTACATGTTGATACTCATGGTGGCGGCTGGCAGCGTCTCCTGACTCAGCCTTCCTGTTCCCAGAATTCTCTTCTCTGCTTGTCCCGCCCATACTTCCTGCCTGGCTACTGGCCAATCAGTATTTTTTTTATACAGAGCGATATCCACAGCAGGGTGGCTTAGGTTCAGGTAGAGAGTAAGGCCAAGGAGATGTGTAAATAAAAGTATAAAGATAGAGAAATACTCTGCTTGATTAAAAAAATATAAGAATAGCTGGTATGATGATTTTACAGAGATATATAATGTTCTCCAATGGCATATCTGTATCATGTTATGGATCTTTGGCTTCTCAAATCTAAGAAACTTCTCCATTATAGAAATTAGTCACAGATTTCTGCCCTTTCCTATATGTCTGTTGCCCAAAGGATTACCCATAGTCCCAACTAATGTTCCTTTTGTTTACCAAAACATGGGCTTGTAGAAAACATTTATCTTCATCAGTATAGAAATGACAGATTTTTTTTGCAAAAATGATTACATCTGTTTCCCACTCTTTTTTTTCTCTCAGATGCCAAGACCAATAATCATAAAAATCCTCTCTGGAAACTATAATCTTCTCTCAGGATCATTGTGCACTAGCTGTCTTGGGCCTACACTGTATGGATTTCTTTCCTAAGGGCTAGATCAGGGTTTCTCAACTTTGGCACTGATGGCATTTTTAGCCAGCTCATTCTTTATTATAGGGAACTGTCCTCTGTGTTGTAAAATATTTAGTGTCACCTCTGGCATCATAAGATACCAAGGTTATGAATTTGGGCTGCTAAAACTATCTCCAGAGATTGCCAGTAGTCGCCTGGAGGCAAATTCATACATTGGAGAACCACTG